TATATAACTGAGTATAATTGAATATGCTTAGGATCATTTATAATTTTATTTTTATGAATTTGTTTCAACATATATAAATACTTCTTCTAGATACGTTAATTTTTTCTGTACACCTTAATGAAACATGTGAAAATATAAATTAAGTGTCACTAAACCTAATTAATTCGTTTTATTAAAAAAAAGTATATTTATTTACAAATATTCGAATTGAATGTTTCTTGGTATAGTTTGGGTGCAACTAAATTTCACAAATTCTACGAAACTTGTTCTTAAGTATACGTCAGGATTTCAATAAGTTATTGGAGAAAATATCTGAAAAGATTTTTTGAAATTTCATCGAACTGAATTCTGGTTCATTATAGATACAATTTATTAAAAGCGGTAACAGGAGATATAAAATTTTATGTAATATCAGGTCCGCTGAATATGCGTACAAGAATGTCAATTTGCATAAAGATCCACCAGTCTACTCATAAATTCAACTGGATTCGTATATCCACTGAATTACGTATTTTTTTATGTATAGCGATTGTTCAGAATAAATATTAGAATACATTATCATACAAATCGATATTAAATTACACATACTTCACTACTTAATGAATTGTAATTGGAACATTTAACATCTGTTTGCTTTTAGCTATGTACATATCTCACATAATATACAGCGGCTCACAAAAGTGTTCGTACACCTTTAAAAAATCAATAAATTTTTAAAAGTTGAACCAAATAAGATGAATTATTGTTTGTAGATCCCAGCGATTTATACGTATGCTGAAAATTTGATCGAAATCGGATGAACACAGAGTCAAGCTACAGGCGTTGAAAGATTTAGAAACCTGCAGCTTTCTTACAGTTTTTAGTCAAAAGTGTCAAAAATCGTGACAAAACTGTGATTTTTGCGGTCTTTAATTTCTTGGAATTCATAATAACGTCAATCGATGTCGATAAAATTTTCAACATGCATATAAGTTACCTAATATCTATGAAAGGTATTTTTAAAATTTTTGTTATAGACTCAGATAAAAAAATTAAGACGAGAGTTTTTTTATCTTTCTGCTATTCCAAGTAAGAGCAAAATTAAAAAGAAAGCATTTTAGTCATTGCCTAATGGAATGGTCCCACTGTCATCTGAAAGAAAATTCAAGTCGTTTGATTCAATTTTGAAAAAGTTATTGCATGTTTAAAGATGTACGAGCACTTTTATGAGCCATTGTATATCTCAGACGTAAACATGAACGTCGAGACATACTCGCAGTTGCTTGGTCGACAAAATTTCATGGACATAATATTCAAATATTTGATTCCCCGTACAGTAAGGAAAATATTTATTTCAATTAAGTATTCCAGGTTCGTATCGTAACATATACAGGGTGTCTCAGTAATTCTGTACAAAGCGTAAATTTTCGAAATACCAAAGACGGACTGATGGTAACTTTGCTCATGGTACCTCTGAGCATTGCTCCGTGACTTTCACAATTTAATATCAACAACACGTGTATTGATACCAAATGCCAGCACGTTTACCTTATGTTCCTTTCGATAGACATCACGCTCTTTGGTATAACGTTTTGGTATGTTGTATGGAGGTCTGTCAGAGTTTTCATAATCGAATTAATAAATGTCTTGAAGTCAATGGAAATAATTTTGAACATTCATTGCACTAAATTTTTCATTGTTGATCTCCCTGTTGTAGTTATTTCATTATGCGTGTCCATGTCTGAAAATTTCTTTATTTTTCGTACCCAAGGTCACATGAAGGTCATGGTATTATAGGTTATTAGATTCGTCTTGATCTTAGCTACCATGATATAATGATAAAAATATGTAATCCCATTTGAAAAAACATCGATGACCTTGAAATCTCAAAAAATATGACCTGTACAAAAAAATGATTCCCACCACAACATGTGTCCCTTCGAACCAAACAATTTGTTCCTCAAGCATTTCCGCGTATCATTAACGATAATGGAGATATCGCTTTGTAACAGAGTTACCGAG